ATAAGCTGATTGAATATTTGCAAGGTCCCTTGTGTACTTACATGCAAATATGAGTAAAGCATTTTCCATCCACGGTCTTTTAATGGTGATGGATAATTTATTATATTATATTATCAATATGCGCAAGCTTTTATAACCTATCAGCTGCTATCAGCTGTCTTGTAACTTATGATTATGCAATTTAATGTACATTTGTGAATATAACATCTTGCATAAATATACGTAGTTTTGTAGAGTACTTTGCGCCATTTTGGGTAGCATTCGCTATAAAAATAGACTTAGTGGTCTAGAATGTCGTTCTCTTCACATTTCTATAATGGATTAAGAATTTGCTGCACACAAAATGAACATATGCAATATTCGTATCGTAGGTCAAAAGGTACTGGAAGTGAATTAAAAGTTTTACCGGGAAAGAAAAAGATCAGAGCCTCCAAGTTATTTAAAAATATTGGCATTAGGATTGTCGAGGTAAACACAGTAAAGTACTACAAATTGCAGGGAAAAAGTGACATTTGTAAATATGGCTTCCGCCAAAGACCATTGCTTGAGGACTCAAGCGATATTGAAAACTCTTACGAGGTTTTGAAGTCATCTGCTATTGATAAAAACTCCGAATATCAGACCCAATTGTGCAAAGTTGAAACGGTTGAAGATCTTAAACACAAGGCTCAAAGTATATTAAAGTAGGTCTCAGGAGACGGAAAGTCATTCATAGTAACCAAGTTTGATAAAATAATTAGAGACGTACAAAATTTAAATGACGATGTTATGAAACCAGTCCAAGCTAACATTGAAAAAATTTTAAAAACTTTCAATAGTGCCTCCGATTTTAATAACAGCATTGACAAGATAAAGGCATTAACGAAATTGATAAAAGAAATTGCGGAAAAAAATAATTCACTATCGGATTGTTTTGCTGAACTATGTGACAAAGTGAAACGTCTTTTAGAAAGTATAGATAACAGAACTGAACGGATAGAAGGTACAACTGAAAGGATTGACGACAGAACTGAAAGGATAGATGGCCGAACTGAACGGATAGAAGATACAACTGAAAGGATTGATGACAGAACTGACAGAATCGACGGTACAACTGAAAGGACAGATAACCGAACTGAACGGATAGAAGGTGCAACTGAAAGGATAGAACAGAAATTGGACGAATTGAAAAATCAAAACAAAGAATCTGATGAAAAGCAAAGCTCAAAGCCAATAGCTGAAGCGACCTCTCAAGGTAAAAGGAAGGGTAAAATTGATGCATTCAATTTTATATGTAATCAGAATCAAAATAATGATTCTACTGGTATGCTACCATGATCTCAGTAATGCCAGCGATAGTTTTGTTCAGTAATTACCATCTGTGATTTTAGTCTGTTGCAATTAGTATCGTAAGGGATGTTACGAATGCCCAATTGCCCTTAGTTATGGGCTGCTAGAAAAAAATACCTGGACTGGACACTCCTTTGGACGGACAGACATTTGGCCTATTTTGGTCATACTTTAGTATGCAGACAGTCGATTCTGAACTGACTAATATTTTCGAAATTAAGTTGTGCCTGTTACAGCACTAAGCTCTGCTTTAGATGATGAATGTTATTCAACGGTTTCATCGGTACTGTAGAATGAGGGGAAAAATGATAGGCCTGCACATTATTTTGCACTGACGGCTGCTTTGCGTCCCTCTTTCTTTCCTTTTCATGCAGTAGTCCCTGGTGCAGTCCAAGGTGTTTTTTCTGGGAGTCCATGCTAATTGAAGCCAGTATACATTCTAGTACTGATGATCATTCATACCGGTTGTGCTGTTGCGGATTACAGTCAACTCTAGTACAGTACAGTATGTATTTCTTTTCATACTTGATAACTGTTGCAGTTATCAAGTATATTCAATTCTTAATTTATCAATCTATTATGCAATTTGCTATAACTACTGTATATTAGCGTCCCGTTGCTCGAATTTAAAACAGTTTGACGTTAATTGTATCGCATATAATAATCACATGTATTAAATTTCTGATTACTTTTAAAACTAGAAAATCGGATATCATTTTCATCTTCTAACAAACAAGTAAAATCGACGTTACCTGACGATATCACACCAAAGCAGATAGAGCCTGTCAATACAGGTATACAAAATATACATATTCAGTAAAAGAGTAGGACGTATATAAATTACTTAGTCTTACATTTCTAAGATATGCTGTTGTCTTCGTAAGACATTTTAATTGTGTACCGATGATGCCTACTGAAAATGAGTAATATTAATTGTATCTGTTACTGTGGTAGTTTAATCACGGAAAACTGCCGTAAAATACTATCCAATTAATTGATCAATCCAAGAGTTTCCTTGGTTAATGCAAAGTTATAAGTTGAACACAGTACATAAATTTTATACAATATTTAAAAATATTTAAGTGATTGATTAGTAATGAGTTAAAGATTATAGTTAATGAAAGACTGCAGTAAGAACATCTACCTTGTAACACATAAGACTAAAGTGTATCTTGTTATGTTTTTAACTTGTTAAGCTCGCGCGTATTTCCAGAATAGATTAATATGGCCTTATTCATTTTGATTCACATCAGCGTTACGGAATATTTATTTTGTTTGCATGAGCGACAGTTCCTAAATTTTAAGATAACCCTGTCTTATTTATATCAGGAATCACTTTACAAGTTAGTTAGATGTTCAAATACTCTTGCTATTAGATTAAGGACATTGTTTATAGAGTTTTATTAATCGTGTTTATCTTGTACCAGTGTAGAACTTGGTAGTAGTTTTATCGTTAAGTTTATAAACATGTACTATGAGTTGCATTTATAATGCGAAAATAATCGTTGTAGCTCAACTCTAAAGACGAAAGGCAACTGTGACATGTCCTTTGCTAATTTATTCAATCTTCCAATATATATAATTTATTTCATAATTACAAATCCGTCTTCCAAAGCTTTTAAAATATTTTAAATAGTTTGACATTAATTGTATTACTTATAATAATCACAAGTATCACAATTCTGGTTGTTTTTATAACTAGAAAATCGTATATCTTCTACATCTTCTACCGAACCCGTAAAATCGACATTATCTGACAATACCACACCGATGCAGACAGCGCCTATGAATACAGGCATAATAGCTTACCAAACTGCAATATAAGCTACTTTATCATAAATTATATATTATCTTACATTGTATTAGTTCTACGCGTAACTACAATATAAAGATTAAAAGGTTCATGATTGTATATAACACTATACATAATTATATACGAGTAATACACGAAGATTTTTAATTTATAATTTCTATTTACGTAGCTATATCGATAGGTAAGAATTTTAAAGCTTTTGATATACGGATATTGCTGTAATTTAACAGTACCGTAAATATTTGTCGACGTTTAAATTAAAAAGAGATGATGTATGTAGGCAGACTGCATTCAAACTGAGGTAGATTACTATCCAATGAATTGATCAATCCGATAGTTTCCTTATTTATTATACGACTGTAATTTTAACATAGAATATCGATTTTATTCAAAACTTGAAATAACTTCAATGATTAATTTAACAATAAGAGATTGCAGTTAATATCTAAAAGAATGAAGTAACAACTTCTGCCTTCTAACACATAGGACGAAGATATACCTAGTTATATTTGTACTTGCTTAACGCACGTAAATAAATGAGTTAGTCTGCTATTTCCAAGATTTGCTGATCTATTTCAACATTAATTTCTAATTCAATCGATAAGTTATCAATAATAGCGCTCATACATTTGAAACGATGTTGTCATAAATTTACTAACTGAAATAACAGTAATAACAAAAGACAAACTTTCCAGTAAAATTTTTTTAAAAGTATGTACTTTATTGTACGGCGGATCGAACTCGTTGACTTATTAAATGAAATCTATAACCTTATAAATTGGTTTAATAATGATTCTTTATCTCTTGGATTTAACAGTCGATGCTTCTAGCAATAACGGAGAGGACATTCCTATGTCGTTAACTGAGGAAGAGCGTGGTTAGTTAGGCAAAGTTGTCAATATATCTATGGGCTATGTTTGAATTATTTTTCGATAATTACAATCGTAGCTGCTGTAACGCATATATGAATATCTTATAATATTACAACAAACGAAAAATAATTAATTTAAATATTTTTTGATTATTTGCTTTAGCATCAACAATACCAAAATATAAGATCAGCAGAATTGGAATGTTGGAAATACATAAACATATCTTACGAAGCCACTACGTCGAAATTATTGAGGAATGCAAATCAAGTGTGAAGCCTATTTGTAATCACTTATATAGTCGAGAAATTCTAACACATTATCTAAAGGAATTCATTGTATGTCAGCCAACCGATTATGAGTAAGTCTGCAATACGATACGATGATATAGCTTAGTTGTAAAAATGTATCATGTGGATAATATAAACTGTGACAACTATTATCACAGGAAAATGGGAAAATTGTTGGATATTTTACCGGAATGTGGTAATCGAGCATATGGTGTATTTTGTGAGGTTCTATCTACCATTAATTCGCCAGTGATAGGAATCTTAGAAAATGCGGAAAGGGAAAATGAAGAAGAATCAAAAGGAAACTATAATGTAAAGGATGCTGGTAATTAATCATTACTAATTATTTATTTTACCAATTTAGATAATTTAACTAGTCAAAATCAAGCAACTAGTAGTCGAACTAAAGCTTCTAAAAGTAATATTTAAGCATCATTAGACTATTCTCAAAGATCCTCTTTTGAATAAAAGTATTTTAATATATATCCTACTTTATGTCAATCTAGAAAGAGCTGCAAGTTCCACTCATACAACAGATAGCCTAGTTCAACAAGTGAAAAGTAACAATATAAGCGTCATAAAAATGCTCTGGCAGATGCTATTTACATGATGATACTTTTTCTAAATGTATTTTATTTATATTCATTAATAGTAACTGTTGCAGTTATCAAATATATATAATTCTTAATTTATCAATCTATTATGCAATTTGCTATAACTACTGTATATTAGCGTCCCGTTGCTCGAATTTAAAACAGTTTGACGTTAATTGTATCGCATATAATAATCACATGTATTAAACTTCTGATTACTTTTAAAACTAGAAAATCGGATATCATCTTCATCTTCTAACAAACAAGTAAAATCGACGTTACCTGACGATATCACACCAAAGCAGATAGAGCCTGTCAATACAGGTATACAAAATATACATATTCAGTAAAAGAGTAGGACGTAAATAAATTAGTTAGTCTATTATTCTAAGATATGCTGT